TGTACAGTATGCCTCTGCTTAGGAAAAAACCCCTCGCTAGTCGTCGAAAAGTCCTTTTTTGATTACTGGTTACATCTGATGGACATTCTCCAGATTGAAGATATGTTTTGATATCATGAAACCAAGGCTTACCATAAAATTCCTCCTCAATCATGTTGATCACGAGTTTGTATGTATAAAGGGTCGATATGAGCGCCATCAGGGTGTTGAGCATCGAAGATAAGTGGACAATGCATCTGCAATCTCATTCTGTACTCTGGGAATGTGTCTAAACTTTATCAACACGAATTGTTGAAAAAGACCTTGTAAACAATGATTATATGGTATGAGCTTTGGGTCTCGAGTTTCCCATTCTCCTTGAATTTGATGAACTAGTAAGTTTGAGTCTCCTAACACTACCAATTCTTGGATACCCATGTCAACAGCTAACCTTAGACCCAAAATGAACGCTTCATACTCAGACATATTATTAGTACAATAGAATCTAAGTTGGGCTGATATAGGGTAATACTCCCCACATTCAGACATAAGAGCAACTCCTATTCAAACTCCTTTCCTATTAGAGTCACCATCAAAGAATAACTTTCAACCTTGATTCTTATCGTGAATAAATTCATCGGTAAAAGATATATCTTCATCTGGAAAAATAGGTTTTAAGTGGTTCATATTCTTTGTCAATAGGGTTCTCTGCCAAATGATCTGCCAATGCTTGAGCTTTCATTGCAGTCCGCGTTATATAGATAATGTCAAACTCTGTGAGCAATATCTGCCATTTCATAAGCCTGCTTGTGGGCATGGGCTTTTGAAAAATATATTTCACAGATCCATATGAGCGATCAGATAAGTAGTGTAACATGAAAGATAATGTTTCAACTTCTGTGCTACCCAAGTTAGGGCACAACACGTTCTTTAAAGAAGGGTGTACTTCGCTTTGTAAATGGTGAACTTCTTGTTGAGGTAATAAATAGCCCGCTCATTCTTCCCATTGTCATCATGCAGACCCAGTATACAACCAAAAGAATTTTCCAGTACTGACATATACAATATCAAAGGTCTTTCCGGCTTGGGAGGAACCAACACAGGGGAATTCGATAGGTAGTTCTTAATTATTTCAAAAGCTTCTCGACATTCTTTGGTCCACTTGATCGTGGCATTCTTTTTCAACAACTTAAAGATAGGCTCACAAGTTGTTGTGAGTGGAGCAATAAATCTGCTGATTAACCTCAGTTTTGTTCTTTAGAGGTGGCAGTTCTTGAATTGCATTTATTTTTGTAGGATCCAAATCGATACCTCTTCGACTGACTATAAACCCCAAAAGCTTTCCTGATGTTACTCCAATTACACATTTTGCAGGATTAAGCTTGAGATTATACTTGCAGATCCTTTCGAAGAATCTCCTTAAGTCTTTCAAATGATTTGACTTTTTTTAGATTTAATGATAACATCATCCACATAAACTTCGATTTGTCTATGCATTATATCGTAAAACATGGTTGCCATTTCTCTCATGTAAGTTGCCCCTGCATTTTTTAATCCAAAAGGCATAACACGATAACAATATGTACCCCATGGAGTGATAAAAGATGTTTTTTCTGCATTTTCATCATCCATAATAATCTGATGGTAGCCCGCATAACAATCCACAAAAGATGCAACCTAATGTTTACCACAATTATCCAATAATATATGGATGTTAGGCAAAGGAAAATCATCTTTTGGACTTGCCTTATTCAAATCACGATAATCAACACACATTCGAACTTTGACGTCTTTCTTTGGGATGGGTACGATATTGGCTAGCCAAGGAGGATATTGAGCGACTTGAATATCTTTGGCCTCAAGTTGTTTTGTTATCTCCTCATTAATTATTACACCCATGTCTGTTTTGATTTTTCTCAACTTCTGCTTTATCGGAGGAAAATTAGGATCAATTGGCAAGTTGTTAACAACCATGTGAGTGCTTAATCAAGGAATGTCATCATAAGATGACACAAAAACGTCTTTTTACATAAACAGGGCCTGGATTATGTCGTCTTTTTCATGTCAAAGATGTACACTTATCTTAGTCTCCTTAATAATTTCTTGATCCCCAAAATTTATCGTCTTAGTTTCACTCAAGTTTGGATTTGACTTATTTTCAAAATGATTGAAATTCCTCTTTAGTTCCTCAAATACTCTATCTTCATCATATTCGATTTCTAGACTTATGATTTCAATATTAGGTCGAAGATTAGATTGGATATTAAGATCTGACAAAAAATTCTTCATGCATGTCATATCACTAGAATCAACAAAGAAAGATCTGTATAAAAGAAAATGAACAAATATATTAGACTGAAATAAAAATGCAATTACATACTATTGAAAAGGGAAATAGAATGTTTGAAATAAAACGACAAGATAAAATCCTAATTACAATCCTTGAATGAATTGGACGACAAAAGAAAAAACAAGAAAGACTACCAAGACTCGTCTTTAACGGGGAGAGGGGTGGCCTCCCAATTGTTTAGCTTGACATCAGGACCAATGAATTGCACATCTCTGTCTCTAGTGCCTTCTCCGAGTTCCACCATATCAACCTCGACAAATAAATCTTGAAAATACTTGATCATTTGTTCGCCTACTTTCATCACTAGCTCTGCAAAAGATGATTGATAAGATTTTGTTGCGCGGGCTTTGATGAAAGATTTGTAGATTGGTTTTATAGTCTTGGTAAGTGAAAATACATATCTCTTCTTCTTCTTTTCCTTCATTTAATCCTCGACTCTAGGTTGGTTGCCTAATCCAAAAGTACCGATGCTCTTTCGTAGACTCAATGGATAAGCTCTGCCTTGCAAGCAGATCCCTAAGCCTTTACCCGGATCAAACCCATGTTTCAGCAATTCATTCACCACCATTATAGACGCGATAGGTATCTTTGGCTTTGAAATGACACCCCCCTGGGGGACATGCTCAATAACCACTACCTCAAAACCTTAATAAACCTGTAGTTCATTCTCATTATTGGCCTTGATAAAAACGGGAGGAAGATTCTTTGTATATTGATAAATCCCCCTCACTATGAACAATAACTTCTTGTCGATCGTATTAAAACTTAATCATTTGATGCAACGTTGAGGGGACTTCTACAGCCTTATGCACCCATAACCTCCCCAACAATATATTGTAGGACGCATTGATATCAAACAAATGAAAAATCACATCGAAATCCACAAGCCTTATGGTTAGTATGAGCTCTATCTCAGCAATGACATCGGTTTTTGAGCCATTAAAAGCACTAACACATACATTGTTGGGTTGGACCCTTTCAGCACTAACATTCAATTTCTGTAGAGTTGATAAAGGACAAATATTTGCTCGAGATCCTCCATACAATTAGAACTCGAGTAACATATTAAAGCTCACACTTTACAGTGATATGTAGGACTTGGTTATGTCCTGTACCTTCTTTGGGTAGTTCATCATTTGAAAAGGTGATGCGGTTTACCTCAAATATTCTCCTAGTAATCTTCTCTAACTGACTCACTGTAACTTTACTAGGAACATGTGTTTCATTCAAAATTTTCATTACAGCCTTATGATGTTCATCAGAATGTAATAGCAATGACAACAAAGAGATTTGGGCTAGAGTTTTTCTTAAATGTTCCACCACGGAGTAGTCTGATAATTTCATCTTCTTTAGGAATTCCTCGGCCACTCTTTCAGTGACTAGACTCTTTATTTGTATTTGGTCATTTTTAGTTTTCCTTAATTCCATCGGGACATAACATCTTCTTGAACGGGTTATTCCTCCTACTTCATCTATTTCTTTATCATTTTCTCTTCTTTTATATGTCACGACAGTAGGCTCAAATAATTCCAGGGAACAACTTTGGGGTTACTCATTGGGAGCTGGGATATTGACCTGATAATCAGTGGAGGAATATGGGCCCCTTGCACGATCAAGATAGGCTTGTTTGGCCTTTTTGGAACAAACGATTTTGCCTTACTCGGACTAGCCCTAATATCTTCAAGGGCTCCTTTCACAGTTAAGATGTGTGTGTTTGATGAACTCATGTTTTCTAACACACTTTCTGCCCCTAAAGGCATCATTTTTGTTAAATCAACAGTATTTGCTGACATCTCAATGCCAGCTCCCACTCTAAGGATTGGCTTATACGGAGATGCAAACACTTCATGACCCCTCATAATTTCTAGCATGTTTGTTTCAGTATGCCTCAGCAATGGATTTTTATTGATGTTGGGTCCACTCGGACTTTCAACAATAATTAGACTAGAATTGATCATATCCTGAATGGCCCTTTTCAAATAGCAACATCTCTCTATGTTGTGCCGTGCGGCATTCGAACAATATGCGCAATGTTGAGAATAATTCGAATTTCTCGGGGGAGGATTCAACATCTTTCTCTTAATAGGACTCAAAACATTCAACGTCCTTAATTCTTGGAACAAGCTGTTATACGACTCCGCAATAGGAGTGCACTCATTTTTAACACCATTTTCATTTTTGAACCGTGTTCTAGGACAGAAAGGAATTCTAGCAGTATTTTGATGAACTTGTGGGGGTGGTGGATGACTTTGTGGAGTTGGTGCACGCCATTGTGGATAAGAAGGAGGTGCAATTGGTGGTGCATTAAAAACATGATTTGGAGTGTATGGGACAGAATATTGTGGAGCTTGGAAAGGAAAATAGTGTAGTGGGGAATTATCTTGGATATGAGTCCTAGGTGCTGATACAATAGTGGCCACATCCTTCCTTCTCTTCTTCCCTCCAATATTTCCAGAACCATTTTGAAGCACTTGTATTGTGGCTTTTAAGGTAGCTTCACTTACAATCATTCCAGACTTGATGCCATTTTCCACCATTTCTTCTACCTTAATAACTTCAGTGAATGTCTTCCCAACGGCAGAACGCAGATAGTGAAAGTAATCAGGTTTTTGCACCTGGAGAAAACATCAATCATCTTTGACTCCTTCATCGGTTGTTTAACCCTAGCAGCTTATTCCCTCCACCTGATAGCATATTCATGAATGTTTTGCGTGGTCTTTTTCCTTGTGTTGGCTAACGATGAGCGATCTGGCACAATGTCAATATTATATTGGCATTGTTGTACAAAACATCGAGTCAAATAACCCCATGTGTGCCAGTTGATGATATCTTGATCTATGAACCATTCAGATGCAATCCTTACTAAGCTTTCCCCAAAAAACGCCATAAGTAGCTCTTCTTTGCCCTCTGCACCCCTCAATTTGTTGTAATATATCTTTATATGAGCTATGGGGTCTCCGTGACCATCGTATTTTTCAAACTTTGGAGTTTTAAAACCAACAGGAAAATGGACGTGAGGAAACATACATAAGTCACTGAAAGAGATGCCTCCTAGTCCTTGCATATCTCTTATACTCTGTTCCAAACTCTTCATTTTCTTAGTCATTTCGTCATGTTCCTCATTCTTGACCATCTTCTCAATTTCGACAGAGGAACTATATTGATGAATGTGGGGATAAGAGCTTGGAATTTTAATGGCCTCTTCAAGAGTGTAACTCTGATCACGCCGAACATTGGGCGGAGGATCGCTATTGGATTTGGGCACCGTCGTTGGCTGCGGGATGTTGTTAGTCGGGGCAGTTGAGACAAAGAGTGGATTACTTATCACAGGCGTATTCGAAGGGCGCATCATAGAAGTTCCTACGACATTGGATGTGTTAGCATAGGGGCTAAATCTAGGGGGATATATCAGATCGCTTGTCGACACCAGGATAGGGTGTGACATATTTGTATTAAAATAGTCTCAGATTGAAGAAGGTGGAGGTTGTCCACTCATCCAAGCCTCGTACATCTCTGCCATTTGTTGTTTTAACGCCCTTATCTCATTTGTTGGACCTGTTTCTTGTTAAGTCATCTGGTTTTGGATCTCTTCATCATTGTCCGATTCATTTCTGTCTTTGGGGTGACTTCGTGTTTCCCTTTCGATCTTGTGTTGTAAGGGTGTGATGCTAGTTTAACCACAAACCAACTACAATTAAAATAGTATGTCTCTCTTTATTTCTCTCTCTTTCTCTCCATATCTCTCTCTCTTAATGGAGTAACAAGCCGATTAGTGTTAATAAATTATACACATTGCATCCACATAAATACTTCTAATACGGAGGACCTTATGTTTCATCCCGGCTTACCTAGGCATTCTTCTCTTCATTAGTTTTTTAATATTTTATTATTATTATTTATTTATTTATTATCATTATGATTATCATTTTAACGAGAAAGAAGATAGAAAAAAAAATTGGATAGAACCCCTTAGGTTTCCTACGTACCATGTTTGGCCCATGTATAAGATCTTGCGTAGTTCGAGAAAGATATTAATTAATTTTTTTTGGCATGGCATATGCACATAAGGTGTTCGAAAGCAAATATTTTTCATTCATTTTCAAATATTTTAAACAATGATTAGAATAAAACAAACAAAAAAAAAGTACCTAGAACTTCGATCAACTCTAAATGAAATAAAATAACAAAATTAAAAGAAAGACAAAAAACAAAAAATAATAATAAAAATGAAATAAAAACTACTAAGAAAATAGACCTGAAAAGAAATGGAATCCTTGAATCTCAATCATCTCCAAGACCCTTATAAATCTTCGCAAACGCTTTCGGTAGATATGGAGCCAAACCACGGGCTTGTCGGCCCAACCTCTCATCGTTCTAGTTTAAATATCTCTCATAAACATTGTTAAAGCCATCCCTGTGTTGTAGTATTCGGTCTCCTGCTTCATCCATATTGTCATAACAATTTTGTAACCAGTGGTGAGCAGTATTGACGTCATGCGTCAAATTTTCCCTTTGTTCTTGAGCTCTTCAATTTGAAGGTGGAGTGCATCTCGCTCGTCTATCCTTTGACCTCTCTCAATCTCATAGTCTGCCTGATAAGGACTGAAACACCTTGCTATTTCGCTTTCCTGTTCCATAGAGGCTTTAACTTGAGTTTGGAATTTAGACTATGCGTAGATAAGCTGGGCCTTTTCTTTCTAATACTCCTCTTCCTGTTGCTCCATAGCGCCTGTGGCAATGCCCAAGTCTTCTTGTAAGGTTAGAATGGTAGAGCAGTGTTTTCTCACTCTAAATTCAAATATCGCATCGCGTTGGGCCAAATCCTCTTTAGTGTTTTGTAGGTCATTACTTAGGATATCCAGAGTAGATTTATAGCTTCTTCGATTTTTAGGCGAGCTTGCTTAATATTAACCTCAATTTCTGCTTCTCGATCTATAGGTCCTTTTATTGACCCTTCTAGCATAACCTTAGGAAGCGGCTGATGATGAACCCAGTCTAAGTATGCTTGGTCAACCTTGCCTCTTGTGCACCATATCGTTGGGACTTGAGAGTATGCATCCCTCCAAATCTTAAGTATCTATGATTGCCTTAAAGGTATCTTGGGATAAAACTTAAACAAGAATTCGCGCATATGTTCATTAGGTGGTAGAAACTGGCGTCGCCCAAGTTGTCGCATGACTATAAGTGGCATGTAAGGTTAGAAATCTCGAAGACCCATTAGGACAATGAAAGATCGAAAAGAAGACATCTATATCACCTTTGCCGTTCGAAACCAATGATAATTCCACACAATCTTGTCAGCAGTCAGATTCTTGAGGTGTTGCTTCCAAGATTCAATACCCTTCGGAAAACTATGATCTTTGATTCTTTCTTTTTGGCTTCAAATATAATCATTTCATTCTACTTTAAAGTCCACCGCATAAGGGTGATGACGAATGTGTTCAATCATCCATAGTTGTAATAACATATTGCATCCCTCAAAGTAGTCTTTTCCATCCTTACAAATATTTAAAGCACGATAGATGTCTTCCACATTCATTGGTACGAGGGTGATATTAGGCTTTTTCTCAAAAGTTGTAATGACTGCAGCTAAGCTCATGCTAATCGTTCCTCCCTTTTTTGGAAATACCATGATCCCAAAAAAAAGGCACCACGAAGGCATCATAACTGTGTGCTTTCCAGGTCAGACGACACCCATTATTTCGGAGTTTCTTTCCACACACTTCGAATCTATCACTTTTTACATATCTTTTGTACAAAAATTCTAACGGAACCAATCCATCATCGAGACAACCACCTATATCATTCTCATTTATATGCAGTAGTTCTAGAAACCTCCTCCCATTAATATGTTTTGGTATTATAGGCTCTTCTTTGTAAAAATGTTTACCCTTTCCTATGAATGCCCCTATCTCTTGAAGGGTGGGGGTGAGTTCACAACCAGAAAAACGGAATATATTCCTTAACGGGTCCCAAAAATGCACTAGTGCTTCTATCAAATCTCGTCGTGGCTCAATATAGAAAAAGACTTCGTAGAAATCCCAATCATTTGAACACCATTCCTCATCCGTGTTTTGTCATATTTTCATACCATGTCTTCAAGAGTGTCGGGGCCTTATCCAATATTATGAATCGAGGTGATTGATCCTCTCTTTGTCTCTTATCTCCCTTTCCATATGGATTCATATTTTCCTATATTGTGATAGTGACAAATTAGGCTTAATAAAATACATTTTTTTTTAAAATAAAAATAACTTAAAAATCATACACATAAAAAATTAATTTTAATTTTTATGTTTATTTTATTTTTATTTATTTATTTATTTATTTATTTATTTATTTTTAAAAATATGGTTATTAAAGGAAGTATGAGAGAAAGAAAAAAAATAATAGATAGAAGTAGCCCTCAAAAATTTTAAAAAAATTAAATTAAAAATTAAGAATATTACTATATTCGATTGTATTTTATTTTTTGTTAATTAAATTTTCAACCTTTTTTTTTGTTTTATATAGAAAAACTTGATGGTAATGATAGATTTTTCTATTTGTAAAAGAAATATAAATTTTTATAGAGAAAATTGTGTTAAATAAAAGGAATACGTCAGAACTATAATTTTATATTTTTCGTTATAATTAATTTTTGTTGTAATTCATTCATATAAAGCCTATCAACATTTGTATAGTATTCACAATAATACAACAAGTAACACAAATAATGTACATGATAATAGTCTTAAGTAGGGATACTTCTCCTAGACAGGTTCAACCCTTGTGTCGAGCTCCCGATTAAATAAAAATTATGCATGATGCAGATAAATCAAATCCTATTAGGGATAGTCATAGTTGAGGCTTGTTTTACTAGGAAAACAACCTAATAGGAAAAGTGTCTAGACTGGCCGTAAAACGAGCGGACTACTCCAGTCGAGAAAGGACAGCTTACCAGTAGCAGGGTTTTTGGGCCTCACTGTTACTCCTTCCCATTCGAAGACATGTGTTATTATAGCATCCTTCCCAGGAGCGTTTCCGCATCTTTGGTATCTTATGGCTCGGGAGCTTAATCGTATCTCCGAAAAAGTATCTCAGAAGACTCAGATAGATGCGCGAGGAAAGACAGTTTTATGATAATTCACATATTATCAAAAGGGTAAAAATAAGCAAGCAAATAACATATTATGGCATTAAACACAATATCCACAAAATAGATAAGTACGTAAATACATAATAAAGTCATGTAGAAGTCAATGTTTACAAGCTCGAATTCTAGTCCGTAGCGGAGTCGCCAGAGATGTCACACCCCATTTTCGCGCAGCGGCGTAAAGGTTTTTCCGATTTAAGTGACATAATTAAATAGGGGATTATTTTAATTTTTTTAGAGTCTCCACTTGGAATTGAGTTACGATATTCCAAGTCACTTTTTTTTTAATCCCTAATCAAATGAAAATGACTCTTTTTTTATGTGCGAACCAGTTCGGGTAATGAATTCTATTCACCGAGGGGAAGGTATTAGGCATCCCTCCAGTCCCATGATTCTAACACGGCCGCTTTATTGACTTTTATGACTCAACTAATTTTTTGAATATTATATTGTTAAAACAAATGTATTGACCCCCAATCTTTGATTTATCCGATATATTTAAAACTATCCAATTTTATAACCATGTCAAGTTTTTATACATTATTTTTTTTTATTCCTTCAAAATTTTGCTTGTTTCATAAATTCTCTTTTTATAAGCATGTCAAGTTTTTGGCTTTGCTGAATTTTTTTGCCTTTTTTTGGCATATTTTCTTTTCTACGTTTTTGGTTGATTTTTTTTATTCTCTTTGCACATCCCTTTTTTTTTACTTTTTAATAATTTTTTTACCTTTTTTTTAACATTCATTATAATAATATTTATTTCTTTCATCATTATTTTATTAATCATATTTTTTGCTCGCATTTTCCCCCTATTTTTCTCTTTAACTCAATTTTCTTCCACGTTTTTAAACCTTTTGCCTTAAAAAAACAAATCTTTTATTTTACATTTCCTACTTATATTTCTTATTCTGTTCTTCTTTTCTTTCATGTTTTTTTCTTTCACACTTTGTTTTCCTTTTATTTATATTTGTTGTTGTGTTGTTTTTTTGTTTATTTGTATGCATTTTTTACCATTTTTTCCTTACATTTTGTTGATCTCTTTTCCTATTTCTATTTTCCCTCTTTCAAGTATATTTTCTGTCACTTTCTATTTAATTATTTATTCTTCTTTTATTTTTTTTATTATTTTCTTAATCACAATAACAAAACAAATTAGATGAAATCTTAATTTAGGTACTAATTATGCAAAATACACATACGATTCATGAAGAGGAACTGCCAGCAGATAACTCGTTTTATATATTTTAAACTTATGCAAAAAGAATAATCACGTTCACTTGTCAATCGAATTAGTCATCAACAAATGTACT